TGCTGGTGTACTATCTGTACCCCATACTGCTGTCTTGCACAGCCCTGGATTTAGAATTGCTCTCGCAAATTGCGAGCACTCATTGGTCAGCAAAATCACCTGACCAGTATGACCAATGAGAAGTGCTTCTTGGCACAGTTACTACACGTTGGCGGCCATGGGGGGACACGTTGGCGGCCATGGGGGGACACGTTGGCGGCCATGGGGGGACACGTTGGCGGCCATGGGGGGACACGTTGGCGGCCATGGGGGGACACGTTGGCGGCCATGGGGGACAAGGAGATTGGGCCTACAATGGCCATAAGTCCGAGCTCAGCGTCAGGGATGGGCAGATGGAATAGGAAGTTCCTAAATGTTCTAAGAATCTAGGAATATATGTCATTTTGTCCGTTGCTCCATATCGAAGCGTCCCAACAACAGTGTCATTCGGGTTCTATACAATCCTCTGACACTTGGGACTCCAGCACATAAAGGGCTTGAGGACCTGCGCTCTCCAGTTAGGAAAGGGGATTTAACATGACAAAAGTAAGTGCGGCAGGCTGCGTTCTCCTGTGACCTCCCCCCAATGTCGGAGACGTTTATGGGCCATGTGAGGTTTATGGGTCCGGGTATGCCGTGATTTGTGTCTGCATGCAGGGAGCCTCATACCAAGTGCTTGGCGAGGTGCCACGATCGCCTGCGCACTGCCATCAGCCGCCCAGCGCCGCGGCTTCCCCCAACGCACTAATCGCCCATCTGTTCTTGAAAACAAGACGCCTCTCAGTCACTCGGTCAGACCCTCGTAAGTGGATTATGTGGAGTTTCACAAACGCCAGAACATCCTGCAAAGAATCCTATTAACCCTAATTACCCAGGATCCCGATTTTTCTTTTTATTAGAACGGTTTAGCACGTTCGGCCTCGAAGATTTCGAGATTCTGCAGATTGCTTTGCTGCTGCTGCATTGTACACGGGTTGTCATGTTTTCAATGTGAATTACAGCTGATGATGATCTAAGTAATACAAATCTAAACCAATCTAAACCATATACAACACAACCAAAGCTACCTCATTTTACTGCAGGGGTGGGCAACTCCCCATTCCATCACCCTCCTGCCTGTATATGTACCTTTTTATTACAGGGGTGGGCAACTATCCCATTCCATCACCCTCCTGCCTGTATATGTACCTTTATTACAGGGGTGGGCAACTCCACATTCCATCACCCTCCTGCCTGTATATGTACCTTTATTACAGGGGTGGGCAACTCCACATTCCATCACCCCCCTGCCTGTACATGTTCTTTTACTGCAGGGGTGGGCAGCTCCACATGCCATCACCCTCCTGCCTGTATAGGTCCCTTTGCTGTAGTGGTGGGCAACTCCCCATTCCATCACCCTCCTGTCTGTATATGTCCCTTTTATTGGGGTGGGCAACTCTCCATTCCATCACCCTCCTGCCTGTATAGGTCCCTTTATTGCAGGGGTGGGCAACTCCACATTTCCATCACCCTCCTGCCTGTATATGTACCTTTATTACAGGGGTGGGCAGCTCCCCATTCCATCACCCTCCTGCCTGTATAGGTCCCTTTCCTGCATTGGTGGGCAGCTCCACATTACATTCTATATATACAGTCGGCATATACACAGACTTGAGAGCGGCTGGTTGTATTTGTTATGTGGGAACTAGTACAGAGCGGTGTGGTAGATAGTGGAGAGGTGAAAGGTACGGAGATAACAAGGAGAGGAGAGGTGTGGAACCGACTCTCTGATATTATCAGATTCTGCTCCACCCAAGGCCAAAGGCCTCTCCGATCCATCTGAGTTGTCACCGCTGTATAAAAGTCCAGGTATATACAATGGGACACATGGACTCACAATCATTAGTTTGCTGCCTTTTGTGTATTTTTCTATGTAAATTGGACCCGTCACTGTCTTTTTTATTTATTACAGGTGTTTATATAGCGCTGACAATGTACACAGAGCTTTACATATTGCACATTCACATCAGTCCCTGTGATGCATGTGGAATAGGTTGTCCCTCATACAGCAATTTATGTTCAATAAAGTTTCACCTTTTATCATTTAAAAAGCTGTCCTTGAGCTCCAGTCTGGTGACTTTGCCTAGGTGATGATGTCATCAGTCTGCTGCAGGCAGGAGGAAGCATTTCCTACGTCTCCTCTCCCCCCAGTGATCAGTCTGCTGCAGGCAAGAACAACTTGTCTTGTCTCCGCCCCCTTCTGTAATAAAGACCGGTCACAGCTGCACTCTCTCCTTGCGCATGGTGACTTGTCTTGTCTCCGCCCCCCTTCTATAGTGGGTGGGGCCTGCTCTCTGCACAGGCTATGTACAGCACAGTGATGACGTCACTGCTCCATTTATCTGGGTTTGCTGCACACAAAGTGGATTTATATCCTTTGAGGCCGCTGAGGAAAATATTTGAGCTGTCCGGAGTTGGGCTTTAAAAGCTCCACCGTAGCTGCTGTACACTCCACGGCCATACAAGCTGAAGCGGATGCGAGCAGCTCTGTGGTGTCGCCATGAATCGTCTTTCTGGCTCTTTGTATTCTTATTCTTGATGGGGGTCGGCTGTCTCCCATAAAAGTAACAGAAATTCTGGCCGTTCCAGGTGAGTTTTGGGCACAGTCATGTGATGAAATGCATAGCAGCTCTGCCCCTCCCCCCGCGCGGTTCTCTTTTCCCCCACCCTGCACTATATAGACGTGTTTACGTGGAGTGTTCACACACAGACATATGCCGTTATGCACACAACAGACGGTGCCAGCAATCCAGCGCCAGCAATCCTCCGTCATGCCATCAGAAGCAAAACACACAATACACGCCACGGCTCCACTCAAATGAGTTTGAAGGTGAACTCCGGCCTTCCCTTCAGTCTTGCACAGTTGTAGCGGCTCCTCTCCTGGACTGAAATGGCTTCCTCTGATGTCACTGCACATTGTCAGCGTCTCACATTGTGCATTAGAAGCTGCAACAAGTCAGATAGAGCTCGTTCCATTTCCTGGCTGGAGGACATGCAGCCTCATCTAGCCCTTTCCTTCCCAGCCTGACTGTCCCCGGCCCGCCCCTTTCATTCATTGGATTTTAGTTCTTTCAATCATGGAGGCTCCGCATCTCATGTCGGCTTTACTTAGGGCGGTCTACTGTTCGCAGGAAGCTATACACAGCCCCTCCCACCGGCCATGATCTGCAAGGGTTAACTGCTTGTTTTGGTCTAGGGCAGGGCTAGGCAACCTTCTCTCTCCAGCTGTGCTGAAACTACAAATCCCATAAGGCATTGCAAGCCACAGGCATGACTCCTAGAGGCAGAAGCATGGTGGGATTTGTAGTTTCAGCACAGCTGGAGAGCCAAGGTTGCCTACCCCTGGTCTAGGGTGTGAAGTAACAGAGATATTCACCCGATGCTCGTTCCCACTTGGCTGCTAGAGCGGTCCCTGCAGCCCCTTCTCCCCCCCTCCACTTCAGGTATGGTATGTCCCTCAGTATGAGAGGAAGAAGCAGTACAAGGATCCATGTGCTGGCAAGTAGCATGCTGATGGAAGGAGAGAGCAGAGAGATGAGCTCATCACTGTGCTGTTTATCCTTTCACTGTCCAGCCACAGGCTGGGTGCGGGTCCAAGACATCCTGGGCTCAGAGGAAGTGAGTTGAATGCTGCTGCCATCAGACCGAGGACATCTAGTGGTAGACAAAGAACCTCCGGATATCCCGGGATTAAAGGTGAATATTGCAGCCAATGTGGGTGGTATTTTATCTTTTTAATGGGTGAATACTTTTTATCTTGTTTTTGGCTGTTATTGGGACTACCGTAGCCCTCCGCCAATCACTGGGGATCCTACCAGTCATTAAGGAGTCCTTTAAAAATGAGGATTAATGGTCTAGTTATAACCTGGCTTAATTCCTTAAGTACCTTGGGGTGCAGGTTATCCGGGACCCACTGCTTTGTTTGCATTGAGCATTTTAAGTCTTTGTTGTATCCCGGTTTCTGTCAACCACTGGGGTATATTTTGAGTTAAACTGGGAGTTTTATCATGTGTGTCAAACCCGTTTCCCGTTCTGCTTTTAAAGGACACAAATGCGAGTAGCTACTGCGGGTTCATGTTTTAGAGGGATGCCAATCCTGGAGGCATCATCAGCCCTTACAAAGAAGCCCCATTCACACTGAGCGACATGAAAATCGCGCAATAAATCGCTCAGTGTGAATGGGGCCTGAGAGTGACTGCAAGTGTCCACCGAGATCACATGACCTCTGCAAGTGTCACCGTAGATCACATGACCTCTGAGTGTGTCCCTGGAGATCACATGTCTTCTGTGTGTGACTGCAGGCGTCCCTGGAGATTGCATGACCTCTGCATGTCACCGGGGATCACATGACCTCTGCAAGTGTCTCTGGAGGTCACATGTCCTCTGTGGATGACTGCAGGCATCCCTGGAGATTGCATGACCTCTGCATGTCACCGGGGATCACATGACCTCCCGAGTGTCCCTGGAGATCACATGTCTTCTGTGTGTGACTGCAGGCGTCCCTGGAGATTGCATGACCTCTGCATGTCACCGGGGATCACATGACCTCTGCAAGTGTCTCTGGAGGTCACATGTCCTCTGTGTATGACTGCAGGCATCCCCGGAGATCACATGACCTCTGTGAGTGACTGCACGTGTCACCGTAGATTACATGACCTCTGCAAGTGTCACCGTAGATCACATGACCTCCGAGTGTGTCCCCGGTGATCACATGAACAGAAGCATGGACAGCGGCGCTCCAATAGCAAATTAAGCATGTCTATTTATTAACCTACGTGCCGCATAGCAAAATACACTTATTGCAACGTTTCGGAGTCATCAGGCAGATGAAGGGGATCCTTTGTGACCCCGAAGCGTTGCAATAAGTGTATTTTGCTATGCGGCACGTATGTTAATAAATAGACATGCTTAATTTGCTATTGGAGCGCCGCTGTCCATGCTTCTGTTCATATGACGAGGCGGTTGCCATCCGCCGACTACCGTTGCACCCATTTTATAACATTGGAACAGCGGCTCTGACTGCGGTGGGCATATGGACTGTACCCCGGTGATCACATGACCTCTGCGAGGTATCTCCAGAGATCACATGACGTCTGCTGGTGACTGCGGCCATCCCCAGAGATTTTACGGCCCCTCTGGATCCATCTGTCCATAGACTTTGTTAGAATGGTAATGCAATGGGGTGCGCTGGGTGTATCGTGGTATTAAATCGGCGAGGGAACTCTCAGATGGGATATACAGATGGACCGGCAGACCGCTGCGCATCGGCTCCGGATCCTTCTTTGCGTGCGCAGATTGACTGTGGTACTTGGATGTTGTGTCCCCATGGAAACCACTCTATAAGATATGGTCAGACCCGGAGTCTTTATCCAGTGAGCTGGCAATGCAGCACTGGAATTTAATATCAATTATCAAACAATTATTAAAGCGTCTCTCCGGGTGAAGATCAAAGAACATTCCTTTGCTCGGTGTCCCAAATGTATCGCGTAATATGATGACTTCAAAGTAATTGTAAAGATATTACTCCGTGATCCTGACTTTTCCCATGATTATAACCTGATCTCCGGTGCAGGGGTGACAACGCTATTCAGCCGCTACTGAAGCGTGCGCAGTTATTGTCTCCTAGTGCTCATGCGCAGTTATTGTCTCCCTAGTGCTCATGCGCAGTTATTGTCTCCTTCTAGTGCTCATGCGCAGTTATTGTCTCCTAGTGCTCATGCGCAGTTATTGTCTCCTAGTGCTCATGCGCAGTTATTGTCTCCTAGTGCTCATGCACAGTTAATGTTTTTTCTAGTGCGCTTTTTAGGATGTGTTTTTTTTTTTTAACAATGTTTTTAAATGCAACTGAGTTTTTTAAAGCTGGGAAGTATAGTAGGCTCATATCAAGTGGGAGGAGCAAAACTAAGAGCCAATGAAGCTTTGCTACATGTATATGTTCTAACAGGGAGCATACCGGCAGGAGGAGGCAGCAGAGGGAGCAGCGGTATTCCTCATCAGTTTTCTTCTTCTCCATCATCATACGAGTGAACAGATGAGGGTTGTTCTTGGTAAAGCCGTACTGTGGTGGAGGTTGAGGCTCTGGCTGTGTTTTCTGTCAGGGGTGCCTGTGTCACTTAAGTCCTTCAGCATGTGAGGAGTTCAGCTTTACCAGAAAAATACATGTATGGGCTGCCGGTGCTGTCATCTTAATCTTCCAGTGACAGAACACCGGTTCTGTATGTGGTTCTTCCGGGTCTAAGAAGCGCAGCAAAGATAAGGTTCTAAAAGGGGGAATTCTTTCACCTTGTTTTTTTGTCTTTTTCCCCCCAGGATGTATCGTGTTGCTTGGTGGGGGAGGCCATACAGTTCGCAGTACGAGTTACTCGCACCGTCCCCGCCAACTCCGGGTGCCAGGTTTACAGTGTGCGCGTCACCCCGCTACTGATAAATGTAAGTCCAAAATTACTCATTTATTATGTAAAATAATAATAATAATAATAGCTGTGTTCCACCTGTGACCTTCCAAAATGTGACCTGGGGGGGCGGGGGGAAGGGACAAATAGCAGCACTTAGTGAGCCGAGCTGCTCTCTAAGCTGTACGCTTGGCGTTGCATGTGCCTGCCCCATCTCAATGCGGATGGGGTGCAGACAGATGATGGAGCGACTCACCTTTATCAGACGGCTCCATCCA